GTCACAAGATGGGAGTCATTCCACTTCAGCAGCCTGGGAGGCAGGAGACGTGCACCATACGTGCACTTCAACTGAACCACATCTGTAACAGAGAGGAAGTGAGTTTGTTCTCCAGCGGCGACGGAACTGAAGATCCTTCAGTTTTCTGTTGACCGTCACGACATCGTCACATCTGGATTTAAAATAACTAAGTTTCCTTCTCCCTGGTCCTCAGCAGGAAACAGGTGGAGTGGCTCCTCAGGCTGGGGAGGCCAGGTCTGAGTGATGAAGGATGGATCTGGGCCTGGTCTTCAGTAATTAGGGTGTTGCTTCGGTCAGTCCTGGTGAAGCAAGATTTGAGTCTAAAAGACAAAGCTCTGGGTTTACTGGTCTGTCTTAAGGAGAGGAGGAGGAGCGCCATCATCCGGGGGGAGCTCGAAGTAGACCTGCTGCTCCTCTGTATCTAAAGGAGTCAGCTGAGAAGATTCATCTGATCAGGACACCTCCCTTTGGACTCGCAGGGGTATGCAACCTTTATGATCAAAAGAGCCATTTCTGCCCTTTTGTTCACTAAATTAAACGTGTCCAGAGCCGCAAAAGCTGCTACAATTGTCATTATCAACTGGTGGCCCATGGGCCAATTTAATTTTGATAGAGGGGGCTTTTCTGGCCAGTAGGCATCCATCCATCCATCCATTATCTTTTACCTGCTTCTTCCATTTTGAGTCATGGGGGTCGCCGGTGCTCATGTCCAGCAATCACAGTGCGAGGGGCGGGGTACACCCTGGACAGGTTGCAAGTCCATCACAGGGACACAGAGATAAAACAACCATTCACTCTCTCACTCACACCTAGAGACAATTTAAAGTTACCAATCAGACTAACATGCATGTTTTTGGTCTGTGGGAGGAAACCGGAGTACCTGGAGAAAACCCACGCATGCACGGAGAGAACATGCAAACTTCACCCAGAAGGGCCCCCGGACCGGGGTTTGAACCGGGGACCTGCTCGCTGAGAGGCAGCAGCTCTGCCAGTTGCGCCACTGTGCTGCCCGCTAGTAGGCACGAAATTACAAAACTAAAACATTCAGAGATTCAGAGAGATTCAATGATTCTTTATTGTCGTTCGCACCATATGTGGTACATGAGGTGGAATGAAATTATGTACACAGGGTCCCAGTTACATCCAACAATAAAATGTAAAAGAAAAACAGTAATAAGATCTAAGATATGAACTAAGAAAAACTTCAGCTAAATATACACTAAGCACTCATAGCATCAAAACAATAAAAACAATATGCCAAACAGCAGCACGAACATGAGTCTGTGTGAGCAGATGAGCACGCATGAACACAGCAGCATGAAACAGATCAGCAGCAACATGAAACAGATCAGCAGCAACATGAAACAGATCAGCAGCAACATGATGTGATTTTTCACAGTGATTATCCTGGTTAGATATTCATGAGTCTAACAGCCTCAGGTAGATGCTGTTCTTCAGTCTAGTGGTTCTACATTTAATGCTCCTCAACCTTCTGCCTGAGGGGAGAGGCGCAAAAAGTGTGTGTGCTGGGTGAGTGGGGTCCTTCATGATGCATAACATCTAATGATTGTTAAGATTTATTGATATTTTTAATTCAATTCAATTCAATTCAAAAATACTTTATTAATCCCAGAGGGAAATTATTTGTTGTTATAACTCGTTATCCTCATTTCATTAAGAGATGTTATAGATACTGATGGCTGTAGACAGGAAGGATCTCTTGTAAAGGTCCATCCCACAGTGGATCCTAAGAAACTGGCTGCAGATGCCGTCTGATCCGTCCACCCAGACTTGGCTGGCCTCTCGGTTCCCCTCGGGCTGTAGGACCACCTGAATGCTGGGCAGAACTCCTCCCAGAGCAATGGCCACTCCTCCCAGCAGTCTGCCGAGCTCCTCGTCACTGCGGACAGCCAACTGTAGGTGCTGAGGGATGATCCTGTCCTTCCACTGTCATGAGCCATGTTTCCTGCTAGTTCCAGGATCTCAGTCGTCAGGCACTCGAGCACAGCTGGCAGGTAGATGAGAATGCGTCCAGAGAACATCCTTTTCAAATCATTTGAGATTTGGGGCTGTAGTTGAGATATTATTTGAGCTTTTGAGATGTTAATCAGCTGCTGTTGGTTGTAGAAAACTGCCTTGTTGCCATGGTTACGCATCATAACAAATGTCCAAAACTAAAAAAGTTTCAGTAAAAATCCTTCCAGCTGCACAGCATC